ATTACTCTTCTTGAAAATCGATGTTGGGGAAGTTTTAGAAAAAAGAAGTGAAATGTAGAGGGTCATAACTCCATGAATTCATACTTGACTCAAAAGAACATTCATTTCAAATTCCTATTTTAAATTTAAAAAAAATGTCATAAATTTTTGTAATGTCTACACCATTTCTCTGAGGGGTATGATTTAAACAAACTTAAATGTTTTCTTCAAAATGCATAATGCTGCATGCATTTATCAATTTGTTAATGTGAAAAACTTTCAATAGATTTCTCTGTTGTCCTGTATGATGAAAAATCTCTGACTAGTCATCCATCTGAAACATTAGATCCTTTTTATAATTAATTAACAAACAAAAATATTTTGAATATTTAATAAAAGCAGAAAGGTTCATGTTTAGTCAATATTGAACTTGGTTGATGTATTCTTCAACAGAAATTATAAAGCAAATACATGTATATAACAAAAAATGTACCGGTACATTTAAAAGTAGCCATTATAACCATCTTTGAAGTTGAATAATGAATTAATGATCAAAATAAAGATAAATGTGGCATGAACCATGCACCTCTAGGAGTCATTAATTTTAAAAATTTTAGTTGAGGGCTCATAGCTTCTTATATTCTTATAATTATGCAAACAGTTTGGGTGCATGATGCCCAAAATAGTACGTAGTACATATACCTAAACCCATGTGTAATGAACCTCCCAATTTTGAAAAGGGGGTGGGTGGGGGTCATTGCTCATAATAATTATTCAAATAGGTAGGTTCCTGATCCTCAAAGAACAAAGATACTGCCAATTTTGAAGGTTCAATCACCAGTCTGTTAAAAGACTTGGGAAAAAAATTTACAGTACTTTTATCCAACTATTGAATTTGATTACAATTGGTCCAACATTATTAAAAAAAGAAGCTGAAAATGTTTAAAAAGTTACTAATTTCTCATGACAAGGAATAATGATAGGTCACCAGATGCACAGATCTAGGGAGACGGGGTGGTTCTGGACCCCCCCCCCCCCCCCCCCCCGAATTTGCAGAGATATAATATGTATTTAATAAAGCAAATATAAAATGACTTTGGACACTCCCCTCCCCTCCCCCGAAAATGTGGACCCCATCATGAAAAAGGCTTAATTGTCAAGAAATTTTCTGGGTTCCTTATGTTTGAGAAAGGAGTTCAGCTTTTTTTTGGATGATATTTATATATTAAAATTGACACAACCTTCACCATATCAAACATTCTATATCTAATTCATAAAGATGAAAAGAATGTTATAACTATTCACACAATTTTCTCTAATATGTTTGGATTAATGCATTTGGAAAATATTATCACTGAATCTCCTTTACACACTTTCTTAAAATGTTATATTTCCTCATATTCTCAACTTTGATTCAAGAGTCCTCAACAAAGTCTTCAGGTACTGAGTGTCTGGATTTTTCCTGCAATATACAAATAAGTTAAGTACACATTAATGTTTATTAAAGAATACAAAGATCATTTTCATTGAAACACTGCATTTCATTTCCAGAAATTTACATTGCATTTCCGACAATTTTTATTTTCATTTCTGACATTTTTTATTTTCATTTCCAACATTTATTTTTTTACATTTCCGGAATTTTTTGAGGGTACCTTTCCAGCAATTTCATGTTTATCAAGTAGGTCGGAATAAAATTTAACAGAATATAAACATTACATTTATTTCAATCAACATTTTCTGAATAAAAATATTACAGTACATTGTATATACATGTAAATGCAGCACTAAGTCTGATTAAAAGTTAAGTGAGCATCCATTTTTTTGTTCACCAAATTCAATGTCCACTGAATATACGTCAGTAATTGCAACAAATTTATATTGGATATCAATGATTTATTCTTTTTAAATATTTATGAGGAAAGTCTTGAATTCTGTTTTCATTGTCTGAAAAGTACTTTATCATTAATGTCGGAGATGAAAATGTTAAAGTGTGGGAAATGAAAATTACAAAATGGAAATGGAAATGGAAAGTGGATTATTTTTAAAAATTCCGGAAATGAAATGCACCCCAATGAACAATTTATGGTCACTGTCAGAAACAATTATTTTTCCTGTTGAATTAATTTTTTTTTTTGGTTGGATAACTTGATCAACAGAAACATATCAAGAGATGTTTCACAAAAAGAGATGCCCCCCCCCCCCCCCCTCCCCAAATAATTGGAATTTTTCTAAGTCCAAGGGACATAACTCTCAAAAATTGCTTGATTATACCCAAAACAAAACTAACCTAGAAATTCTTATGATAATTTTGTATTGTATTCCAAATTTCATTTCAGTATGTGCAACCTCTGCGAAGAAAATGAACGGAAACTGTTGGTGGACCGACAGACAGACAGACCGACCGACTGACCGATCAACAGACAGCAGCAAAGCAATATGCCCTCCCTTCTTCGAAGAGGGGCATAATAAATTATTACAAAGTACCTTTCCTAATAAAAGTGGAAGTATTAAAAGTACTGGTTGAGAGAGGCATGATATTGATATACTCTGTATCAAAATATACATCTACAAATACAAATCTACAATAAACAATTACAGTATTGCTGTCCACCAGTCATTATGATGATTTAGCTACTCGAATAGTACAATACTGTACTCAATAGGTGCCTATATCATCTTACTGACAAAAAAATGGCAGTATCATTGTTTTATTATATGATTCAAGGAAAAAATTGTTAAAAAAATCTTTAAGTGCCATCTTTCTTGATTTTTTACAATTGTTGAATTCGAAGTCCTAATCTAAACAGTGAGAGCAGCAGAATAAAATAGACAGGGGACATTAAAAAAGTAGAAGGGGGTTTGGGGTTCCTCAGGATTGCATCATTATAGGCAGGGAAATTCCTCAGCCCCCGGGTCGACCTATTCTAGTGCAATTTCCTTTGCCTCACTCTGCCTATCTATATACTTAACAAACACTAGCTCCTTGCTGATGTACAATCCTGATTACAAACCAATTTCAAATATCATGGATATGTCCAAGTGATTTGGAAGTCCCAACCACTTATTCCCTAAGTATTTTATTCTGGATATCTCGATTCCTGGGATATCTATAGTATTTTCTAGGTCCCACTGAGTTGAAATAATGAGCTTTGGAAATGTTTTATGATTTGACAAGCTACAAGAAATCCAAATACATTTGTCTCTGTATATTATATATAATACAGATTGATCCTAACAAATTTAATTAATATGGAGAATGCATGACAAGTAAACAACTCAGATTAATACTTTTTTTCAACACTGAACATAAGTACAATCAGATCCGACTATGTGATTCTGTAAATGTGATTTAATAATTATACAGTTTAAATTGTCCAGTGAGCCATTCCATTTTTCTTCAAATGGATGGAAGTGGTATCTCAAACACTGATATCTCAAATAACATGGATATGCCGAAGTGATTTTGAAGTCAAAAGCGCTTATTTCTTAAGTATTTTACCCTGGATATCTTGAATCCTCTGATATCTTGAAGTATTTTTTTGGTCAGGTGAAGTTTGAGATAACAAAGTTTGACTGTAGATATACACTTTATGATATGTACCAGGGATGGGGTCAATTACTTTAAAAATTAATTAATTAAAATTTCAATTAATTTGACTTTTTTCTTCAATTAAATTACAATTAAATTACTGGCTTTCTAAGATGTGTAATTAATTAAATTCAATTACTTAGCAAAACTAATTAATTAAATTACAAATTACATTTTTAATTTTTTTGAAAATTTTTATAATCATTGTCAATGAATATACAGAACATCATCCATCTGTATATAAGCTCAGCCTCGAAAAGCACAAACAGTACAAGAAATAATATGCTATATAGTGTATTGTGTATTTTGTAGTGTAATTTATAATTTTTATTTACTAAATGTTAAAGAACTATCTGAGATCAGTTTGATGCACAAAACCTACATGTAGACTACATAAATTGCATGGCTTATGATATTTGATTAAAAGTGGGTATTTTAATAGAGTAAAATGAGTTGCAACTGTAACCTCTCTAATTAAATATTTCCTTTGAAAGTAACCTAAACATCCTAAATTGCTATTTATGTTGAACAATTTTACTTCAAAAATAATACATGTAATAGTACGTACAGAACATAACTTTTTCAGATACAAAATTTATCCATTAAAAATCTTGTTTATATGTTAATATAATTATCAAATCGAAAGATTTTCTTTTCTAAAGCTAGCGGGCATTTTTTATTGAAATAATCATCTCCATTAAATTGGCTTTGTCTCCTAAATCATGGAATGAATACCTCTTTAGAGGAGTTGATTTGTTTTGATTGCAATTTACAACTGTGATTTGGAGGGCAATTATCTCTTTCCAACAAGAGAGAACTTAATTAATGACACACACAATCTTTTTCTTTATTATTGACCAACAACAAAGATTGAAATATAATAAATGTGTGTTTCATGACAAGCTGGCCTAGGAAGGGTGGTACAAAATTTTGATAAACATAAAATAAAAAATTCAAATTTTACATAATGATTAGAAAGAAACTAGATATTTATTATGAAGCCCATCATTTATTTGTTCGTAAACATAAACTTAAGATTTTGTATAATTGAAGGATTGAGGATATGTTTTACAATAAAATAAAAGACTGTAAAATGGGGAGGTAGTGGTGACAATATATCATAAATATATCATGAATGTGTATTATATAAAGTAATTGAATGTAATTGAAAAAGTAATTGAAATTACATGGTATTTTTCAGTGTAATTAATTATATTACAATTACAAGTAATTGAAAAAATGCTCAATTACAAATTACTTCCAATTACTTCCAAAAATGTAATTGAATTATGGTCAATTACAATTACTTTTTTCAATTACCCCATCCCTGATATGTACCTTAATTATACCAAGAAATGCAAAGAGAGCATTCATTTCCTTTAAACACTGGATCAATGTAGGGAATTTTTATAAATGTACTTGACTGAACCTTTTTGAATCAATAGGTATGTCTGTGGGCATAACCATCTCTACACCAGATGTTCGACTAGTACTTAATGTATAAAGGATTCCTTGTTGAAAAGCTTTCATATACAAGCCAGCAATTTTTCTTCCCATTGTATTGTCTGGAAGAAAAATACTTTCTTTGCGTCCTATAAAATGTTTTCCTGGATTTGGATGAAAACTCTGAAATAAAAAGACAAAATATTCTTTTAATTGTTTAGTCATGTATTTTTTTCTCCAACTGCTGTACATGATAAAATTGCTTTTAAAACATTTAGGGTATGAAAGTAAAATATGGTTAATTTGAACAAGCTTTCAATGAATTTATGCTAACAACAAACTGAATTTCAATCTCTGTATAGTTTTAAAAGATATTATTTACTTAAAGGATACAAGAAGTATAAGAAATCTTGTTTTTTAGTGAATCAAAATTGTTTATTCCTGGCACTTTGTTATAATATATGCATTTTATGCATACATGTATTACATGTATAATAAATGATAATTTCCTTATTCACAAGAAAGTATATCAAACTATTGATAAGATTTTATAACAAGATCTCTACACAAGAATCTGAAGAAACCTCATTCAGGGTTATCTCCTGGTGACCTTTCAATTACCCAATCAAATGTTTGCTTCAGAGAATTTAGAAGCATCTCAGAATTCAATTACAGAAGTGAAAGACCCGATGATACATGAACAGAAAATCGTGACTGGTTTCTGTAGCCTGTCAAAAGAATGACCAGTCTTTTCTGTACAGAAATATATCTAGTATTTGCTTTTGACTTGTTTTTTAGCTCTTTGTTTTGTACGAACAATAACTTCTTCTCAACGACTACTTTCACTTCTACATTCATTTTCCCGAATGTCGTTTAAGTACGATCTCTCTAATTGGTCAAAATTTCAATGAATATTTTTATGAGAAAAGTCACCAGGAGATGACCCTAAATGGTGTTTCTTCAGATCCTTGTGTAGCAATCTATGTGAGCAGTTCAAAGGATCTGATTTTAATCAGATTGATGGAATGCCTAAACAAAGATTGTGCTAAAATTTCAAGCATCTGCGATGAGAGTTGCTGAGAAAACTGTGACAAAAAATCTGTTATGGACAGACAGACACACACACACAGACAAGGGTAAAACAGTTTACCCCCTCCCCTTCAGAGTGGGGGCATAATAAAAACATAACTGTCACACATGCTGAATTCTCATTAAACTGGCCACCCCTCTAAACCAGTCATTTTATTCAGTCAGGCAGCTGGCTGGTTTTGAGAAGTTACTGTATATGATCTATATAGCCCTGCCCTACCGCCCAAATCCCTAACCCTGGGGCCATAAATTTCACAACTCTTGATCATCATA